CACACGTACATAGAGAGTGCCCACCCACTTCCCATCTTACTTGCCTGAGGGTCTTAACTCCAATCCTTTAGCTGTTACTTGTGCTATTTTCTCTCTTATTTAAACTTAATCTGTGCCTTGCTATTATATGAGGATTTTAGCTCTTTTATTCTCTCTCTTCCTGTCTCTTCCACCCATCCTTCCACTACAATTACCTCAAAATCACATTTAGTATCACCATTATTATGTCTATGTAAATAATTCTCACAACTGATCCAAGTGGTGGTTTCCCATTATAGTATTTCCTATTGTTGTACAGCTTTTTGTTTTTCTAAGATTTTATTAATTACTTGATACATTACTTTGCTTACTTGTTTTTAAAACTATGGTGTATCTTTCCACCCACTCTACCAGATTAGTAAATTCTATGATTTCAATTCAGTTATGGTCAGTGGTCAAGCAGATAATTTATCATTCTTTTTCTTATTTTCTTTGAATCATTCCTTTTTCTTCTACCATCCACCTCTGTTCTGTACAGCCTTATCTATAAGCCTGCTCATTGTTTCTGCTGTATTTGTGGGATTTACTTCTACTATCATTTTGAAAATCCAAGACAAAAAAGGTGATCAAGATCCTAAAAACAGAAAAGACGTAAAATGTTGAGCACAGATAATGATTAAACTTTGAGAGAGGGTGGAACACCTGTTCTAAACTGAGAGCTAGAAGTTAATGATTTGTGCATGTGGTTATTTCCAGTTGGTGGTGAGGGAAGACCGAGACATTGAGGGATTATCCATTTAAGGGCTTCTATTTCTTTTGGAAGAATGGAAGAAAATTTATCTGCTCTGTGCATATGGCAGGACTGGCTCTGGGTCCTAAAGGAGAGGACCGAAAGAACTGATTAGGAAGACTGATCAAAGAAATTTGGGTAGTAATACATGGAAGCCACCACCATCACATCAATTTTAGGCTCCTTATGCAAAGAAGCTCCCCACATTATCAGGAAACCACATCAGGCCCATGAAACTCACCTTTTTTTTTTTTTTTAATTTAAATTCAATTAGCCAACACATAGAACATCATTAGTTTCAGAAGTAGAATGCAGTAATTCCTCAGTTGCATATAACACCCAGTGCTCATCATATCACGTGCCCTCCTTAATGCCCGTCACTCAGTTACCTCATTTCCCTTCCCACCTCCCCTCCAACAACCCTCAGTTTCTTTCCCATAGTTAAAAGAATCTCTCATGGTTTGTCTTCCTCTCTGATTTCTTCCCATTCCATTTTTCCCCTCCCTTCCCCTATGAGCCTCTGCACTGTTTCTTATATTCCTCATATGCATGAAACTATATGATAATTGTCTTTCTCTGATTGACTTATTTTGCTCAGCATAATACCCTCCAGTTCTGTCCATGTCGATGTAAATGGTAAGATTTCATCCTTTCTGATGGCTGAGTAATATTCCATTGTATATATACACCACATCTTCTTTATCCATTCATCTGTCGGTGGACATCTGGGCTCTTTCCATAGTTTGGCTATTGTGGACATTGGGGTGCAGGTGCCCCTTCAGATCACTACATTTGTATCTTTGGGATAAATACCTAGTAGTGCAATTGCTGAGTCATAGGTAGCTCTATTTTTAGCTTCTTTTTTTTTATTTTTAAGATTTTATTTATTTTTTAACAGAGAGAGAGACAGCGAGAGAGGGAACACAAGCAGGGAGAGTGGGAGAGGGAGAAGCAGGCTTCCCGCTGAGCAGGGAGCCCAATGTGGGACTCAATCCCAGGACCCTGGGATCATGACCTAAGCCGAAGGCAGATGCTTAACGACTGAGCCACCCAGGCGCCCTCTATTGTTAGCTTCTTGAGGAACCTTCATACTGTTTTCCACAGTGGCTGCACCAGTTTGCATTCCCACCAACAGTGTAAGAGGGTTCCCCTTTCTCCACATCCTCACCAACATTTGTTGTTTGCTGACTTGTTAATTTTAGCCATTCTGACTGGTGTGCAGTGGTATCTCATTGTGGTTTTGATTTGGATTTCCCTGATGCCAAGTGATGTTGAGCATTTTTTTCATGTGTCTGTTGGCCATTTGTATGTCTTCTTAGGAGAAGAATGTCTTCTGCCCATTTCTCGACTGGATTGTTTGGTTTTTGGGTGTTGAGTTTGAGTTCTTTATAGATCTTGGATACTAGCCCTTTACCTGATACGTCATTTGCGAATATCTTCTCCATTTCTGTAGGTTGCCTTTTAGGTTTGTTGACTGTTTCTTTTGCTGTGCAGAAGCTTTTTATCTTGATGAAGTCCCAATAGTTCATTTTTGCTTTTGTTTCCCTTGCTTTTGGAGACATGTCTAATAAGAAGTTGCTGTGGCCGAGGTCACAGAGGTTGCTTCCTGTGTTCTCCTCTAGGATTTTGATGGACTACTGTCTCACATTTAGGTCTTTCAACCATTTTGAGTCTATTTTTGTGTGTGGTGTAAGGAAATGGTCCAGTTTCATTCTTCTGTATGTGGCTGTCCAGTTTTCCCAATACTGTTTGTTGAAGAGACTGTCTTTTTTCCATTGGACATTCTTTCCTGCTTTGTTGAAGATTAGCTGACCATAGAGTTGAGGGTCCATTTCTGGGTTTTCTATTCTGTTCCACTGATCTATGTGTCTGTTTTTGTGCCAGTACCATAATGTCTTGATGGTTACAGCTTTGTAATAGAGCTTAAAGTCCGGAATTGTGATGCCACCAGCTTTGCTTTTCTTTTTCAACATTCCTCTGGCTATTCGGGGTTTTTTCTCGTTCCGTACAAATTTTAGGATTATTTGTTCCAGCTCTGTGAAAAATGTCGATGGTATTTTAATAGGAATTGCATTGAATGTATAGATTGCTCTGGGTAGCGTAGACATTTTCACAATATTTATTCTTCCAACCCATGAGCATGGAATGTTTTTTCATTTTTTTTGCCTCTTCCTCAATTTCTTTAATAAGTGTTTTATAGTTTTTAGAGTACAGATCCTTTGCCTCTTTGGTTAGGTTTATTCCTACGTATCTTATGGTTTTTGGTACAATTGTAAATGGCATCGATTCCTTAATTTCTCTTTCTTCTGTTTCATTGTTACTGTATAGAAATGCCACTGATTTCTCTGCATTGATTTTATATCCTGCCATGTTGCTGAATTGCTGTATGAGTGCTAGCAATTTTGGGGTGAAGTCTTTTGGGTTTTCCACATAAAGTATGTCATCTGGAAGAGTGAGAGTTTGACTTCTTCTTTGCCAATTTGAATGCCTTTTATTTCTTTTTGTTGTCTGATTGCTGAGGCTCAAACTTCTAGTACTATGTTGAACAAAAGTGGTGAGAGTGGGCATCCCTGTCATGTTCCTGACCTTCGGGGAAGAACTCTCAGTTTTTCCATGAAGCTCACTTCTGACCACAGAGTAGACACTATTTGAGCGCTTCACGGCAGAACATTCGTTTGCAACTTGTCAACCTCTCTTAAAGCACGTCTGGTTGTATGTGCGTGTGTGCAAACACACAGGTTCACATGGCCAAGCCCTCGTGGCTCTGGAAACTCTGTGCCCTCTTCCTAAAAGCCATTTGACCCTAGGAGAAGTCCAGACTGGCCAAACTACAAAGAGCTTGTGGACCTTGGGGAGACCCCAGAATGAGGATTGCTGCTGAAAACTGGGAATGTGGCCACGCCATTCCTCGGGGTCCCAAGCAATTCCCTTTTACCCCAGGGCCAAGGTCCCCTTCCAGGCAGGTGGCCTCAGGCTTTGGCCACCTGCCTGCCCCCAGCTCCTGGGCTCTGGGGGCCCCACAGAGACCTGCCTTCCCTGGCTCGCTCTTCTACAAACACTGGATCTGTTGGGGCTAGGGGCTGGGGCAGAGAGAAGCGCCCGCCTCAGCACCCTCCCAGCAAGTGTATCTTGTACAGAGGGGAAGTGTGTGCGGGAGTGGGGTGCACACCTGCTTAGTAACGTGGCTGCAGCCTCTGCACTTCCCAAATCTCAGATGAGAGATTGATTTATTATTTCTGCATAACATCTTGGGGTAGAAACCAAATTTCTTTTAATATATTACATATATATGTACACACTCCTGTGAAATATGTGTACTTTGAAGGGGATCTATTTATGTTCCATTGGGAGTCTTTCTTTTCTCTCAGGAATCTTACCTGCTGCTTTGTGTATTTGGTCAGATTCCTGACAAACATTTTGTTTTCTGTTTAGTAAAGGTGCTCTTTCTGGGATGTCCAAAAAAAAAAAAAATTAATATCTTTTTTAAAAAGTAGGTTATCCACCTACTAATAAATTTTCATGTAAGCTGTTAGGAAGATAAGATTATTTCCATATAATCTTTGAATTTAGATGGTTTAAAAATTATTGTTTAGAATATAATTAATGCCAAGGTTTTCTCCATTTGCACTGATAGTTTATTTTTCCCTAGAGATTTGTGTTCATTGAGTTCTTTAAATTCTTCTTTTAATTGGAATATATATGACAAGGAAAACGGTTAAGTTCCAAAGTCAGTTGGTCGATCCATTTGTGAATATGACTCAAATTTACTTTTTTTTTTTTTTTGGTCTCTTTTTTTAACTGTTGAGTTACTTTTACTTATATCTGAAGATGAAAATACTGATGATATTGGTTAACCTTAAAGATTGCTTTGCAGTTTGGAACAGTAGCCACCATTTCACCTTTATGGTTTACAACTCTACCCATAATTGTACTTATCTTTACTATATAACAAGCTAATTTAGCTGTCACTTCTTTTCTAAGAATGCCAGTTCTACAACAGGTAGTTTCATGTACTCCACTGCATTCTCAGAGAGGGAAACTTCATTAACCCAAGATGTAAGAATTCTGATGGTATTGGGAAAATTCACAAGAAATCTTGCATACCTTCCTTGAAAAGAAAGGAATGAATATTACTTCAAAAAAATAGCTTTTAAATTTTACTATTTTATTTAAATAACAAGACAGTACATTATCTGAAAATCTGATTTTAATTAATTTATTTTAATTGTAGGCCATGGCACAGAAGGAAGATATGGAAGAAAGAATCACAACCCTTGAGAAGCGTTACCTCAGTGCTCAGAGAGAATCTACCTCCATACATGACATGAATGATAAACTAGAAAATGAGTTAGCAAATAAAGAGGCCATCCTACGGCAGGTTGAGTATCTCTATCTTGGTTTTGTTCTTGTCCGTGTGTGTTCTAATCATTCTCACAAAACATGGAGTAAATAAAATATGGTATTTCTTGGCAATCAACCATTATCTAAAATTTAGAGTAGAACTGACTAGACAGGTGTGATTTTCAGGATATAATTTATAAATTTGTCTTAATAATAATAAAAATAATTACTTTTAATATTTACTTTGGATCTAGACATGAGCCAGAAACTGCTAAACAGTTAACATGTATTACCTCACTTAAATCTAACCATCACCTGTGAAGTAAGCACAATTATACTGAGGCACTAAGGTTCAGAGACATGAAACCTTTTCCAAGGTCACACATCTGGTAATTGCCAGTTATTAGCGGAGGCCTAAGTCTATTTGACTCTAGAGCAGGAGTGGACAAACTATGGCCCATGTGCCAAAACTATGGCTCTGTTTTACAAATAAACCACACCCATTTATTTAACAGTCTGTGACCATTTTTGTGCTGCAGTGGTAGAATTAAGTAGTTGGAACAGAGACTAAATAATACACAAAGCCTAAAGTATTTATTTTCTGGTCTTTCAGAGAAAAAAATTTTGTCAAACCTCTCTCTAGAGCCCGGACCCTTAACCATTGTACTACATTCCCTCTCCCACTCGGGTTAATACTATAATTTTCAATATTATGCGATCATGGTACATCTGAAGTCTTCGTATTGAATTATAATCCATTTTTCCAGGTTTATACTCACTAGTAACTTTTTTTTTCTTTTTGCTGCCATTGGTAAGAGCTTTTCTATTTTTTAATGTGCTAAATTTTATTGAGGAATGTGATTAAGTAAGATAAGAAAATACGAATACAGTCATCTCTTTGCATAGCCCAGGTATGGTAGTGGCAGATTTTAAGTCTAGAATAATGGCTGAAGCCCAAAGCCCCAAGGGGCTGGTGTTTGTTATCCTCACAGTGACTCTGTGAGCATCTCTTTTTCCATCCCATTTCAGATGGAAGAGAAGAACAGACAGTTACAAGAGCGTCTTGAGCTGGCTGAGCAAAAGTTGCAGCAGACTATGAGAAAAGCCGAGACCTTACCTGAAGTAGAGGCTGAACTGGCTCAGAGAATTGCAGCCTTGACAAAGGTACTGCGATAAGACAGTCAACCTAGATATACTTACAGAAATGACTAGTAAGCCAGATGGAATCTATAGATTTTCTTTAGGTTTTATGAAATTTAAGTTTATTTAATCTACCATATTGGTTTTGTTGGTTAGATGAATGTTTCATATTATATATCTTATTTAATGCTGCCATGAATGATACACATATGAATGTGATGATACCTCTGCCTATTTAAACAGTAGTAAATACAAAATTTCACATCGTTATAGTTAATTTTCCATGATAATATTTGCACATGAGAATAATCACCAAATATAAATAAATAATGATGATATTTAATATGTATGTAGATAAGCCATGATAATTTAATAGGCTTAATATAAATTGGTATTAAAAATGTAGGAAATATCATAAGCAGTTGATTGCATTCTGACTATAGTATGAAAAAATTTGTTAGAAATTGGAGGTTAGATTTGTAGAAGTCTAAATTCTAAAGTCATTAGTCAGAAGGTGATTTTAATAGTTACAATTTCTCCTGAACCAATTAAATTCAAAAATAATCTGAGGGATGTTCAAAATTATCTGCCATGTTATGGCTGTTAGAGTCTGCAACTGTCTGCATATTTTAGAATTTTGCCACCATTATAGTGTTAAAATGACTATTCTAACCTTTCACAGTCAAGTGGAAATGGACATTGCTTCCAAGTGTATGTCTGTTATCACTACAATGCAAGTTTAGATTTGCTCACTAAAAGCATGTTTTACTTTTAATATCAGTTCAAAAATGTACAGACATTTTAAAAATTGTTAATTATTTGAGAGAGAGAGAGCAGGGGTGAGGGGCACAGGGAGAAGAGAGTGAATCCTAGGCTCCATGTTCAGTTTAGCACAGAGCCTGACATGGGGCTCAATCTCAGGACCATGAGATCATGATCTGAGCCAAAACCAAGAGTTGGCTGCTTAACTGACTGAGCTACCCAGGCACCCCCAAATTTTCACACATTTTAGATATTCATGCACTCTTTGCTATGTGCTAAGTTTTCCGTCCCACTATAATAAATGGGTAAGATAGATATGTGAACTGCAAGATACAAATTCTGGCATTCGGGATTATCCAATACAATTGATATTAGCAATATAAAAGCAGGCACACATGTTCACTTTCCTGAAAAAGTAAATGATTAAAGAGGAACAGTAGGGGCGCCTGGGTGGCTCAGTTGGTTAAGCAACTGCCTTCGGCTCAGGTCATGATTCTGGAGTCCCGGGATCGAGTCCCACATCGGGCTCCCTCCTCTGACCCTCCCCCTCTCATGCTCTCTGTCTCCCATTCTCTCTCTCAGATAAATAAATAAAACCTTTAAAAAAAAAAAAAAAGGAACAGTAGACTGATGCCTCCTGGTTAAAATAGGGTAATTAATCAGGTAGTGCAAAGGCAAACATTTGCAAAGTAGAGCAGGGCTTAGGAAGTATTGGAATAGTTGCTTGTCTACAGAGTATTGGAATAACTAGCTGAATAAAACATTAGTGTGATTAGGGTAATGTTACAATCTGAATCCTTCTGTAGTCATAGACATACCATAAACCCTTCTGGCAATTTGAGAAATGTGTGATTTCTAAGATGAAGATAAATTTATTTGAGAAATAGTCTCTAAATTATATAGAAATGTGCAAATATAGTAGTAGTATTCTATTTTTTTGAAAGCACATTTTAAATTACTCATGTATGGATGTACACACACTTAGGCTTTTCATTTGAGGAACATGAACTTCTATAAAGAGTTATTGAACTATTTTCAGGGGCTTGGTGAGTGGCTAATAATAAAAATAGCTCTTGTAAAATTTTAGTGTAAAATAATTATCAGTATTATCCAGAGTAATGTACAAGAAAATCTGGAATCTCTCTCAAAGTAACACGATTTAAAATTCACCAAATAATTGCTCCAAACTAACCTCTGATGGACTGAGGATGAAACATACTTTAAAACATTAATACTTGGGGCGCCTGGGTGGCTCAGTCGTTAAGCGTCTGCCTTCGGCTCAGGTCATGATCTCAGGGTCCTGGGATCGAGCCCCACATCGGGCTCCCTGCTCAGAGGGGAGCCTGCTTCTCCCTCTCCCACTCCCCCTGCTTGTGTTCCCTCTCTCGCTGTGTCTCTCTGTCAAATAAATAAATAAAATCTTTAAAAAAAATAAAAAATAAAACATTAATACTTGATTTACGAGGCTTCAAATTATACATTCCTAAGATTCCTTAATTTAGAATATAACAATGAATCATGGAACACTACATCAAAAACTAATGGTGTAATGTATGGTGATTAACATAACATAATAAAAAAAATAAAAAGAGATAACTTGAAATATATGCCTTATCTTTTCTGCCCTCCTTTTTTCTCTGGGACTCTTATTTATTTATTCATTTATTTATTTATTTTTGATTCATATATTCATTCATGTACCCAAAATAATTTCCTCAGTTTACTTCTACCTAATAATATGTTGCTAAAATTTCACTTCATCTGAATCCTTTTGATTTTCTCCTTTTTCAGTAGAGTTTTATCCTTCACTCTGCTTCTCTTTCTTACCACTTTCTCTTCAGGCTGACTCTATGTAGTATAAACACCATTATTTCAACTATAGAGTTTCTAGATTATTGACATATTTAATTCACATTTGTCAGTGATGGTTTCATCCTCAACACATTCCCTCTGCCTATAATATTTTTATTAAAATGTTACTCTTTCATTTGTTTTCCCAAGTTTTATGGCTGTAATGATCTTGCACTTTTTCTTCTCCTCAGTTCACAGACCTTTAGGGACTGTCTCTAGAACCTGCTTTACTTATTTATTTTTTCATTGTTAGTTCATTTTCAATATATCACTATTATTGATCATCATAATTTTTTTCTACTTCTTAATATTTTTGACACTAAATTAAAAAGATTCTGCTTAGCTTGAAGCTAAGCTTCCTTCTCCTATATTATGAATGACATCCTAAATAATTTTCAGACATTTTATTTGGCCTATATATTTTTTTCTGCTTTTGTTATCTGCTACCTATTCTTTTTTCTTCTCTTTGGTCCTCCCCTCTTTAACTTTTATTTCTTTTCCATTTCTAAATATATTCATGCTTTTCTCAAAGCCATTTCTATGTGTAATTTCCTCTAAAACTTTAGCTCATTTGAAATATTCCTGTGTCACATTAAAGAGTGAAATCAAGATAAACTCTATATCCCATCAAGGAATACAAAAAATAGCAGATTGTTCTTGTATTTACATTAATTACTTAAACTGCAGTCTTCACAAAGCTAAGATGAACATAAATCAACAGTAGTTGAAAATTGATACCAGTTTTTGTATAGAAATGATGTCTGAATTTATTCTTTGGTTGATAAGATTATGTTTTGTGTATGTGTGTGTTTGTGTGTATGTGTAGATAGGTAGGTAAAGCTCATTTAAGGCTTAGAAAGTCAGAAGTATTGATTAATGGCTATGGATAAAAGTTATAATTTGGCTTTGGCAAGTATACACAAAATTAACCAATAAAGACTTTGGGCTCCCAGTTTTTTTATTTATGATGTTTGCTTCTTTAATTAAAATGCATATTCCCTCAGCAAGGACATAATTCATCTTGAATTCCATAAGGTATTTCATTCATTTTTAGTACCAATAAAAATATCAACAGTAACAAAGTAATTTAAACTTGACAGATTTCTTGTTCAATCTCTGAAGTGAATTTTCACAATGTTTGGTATGTTTTCAATAGTTAGGATGAAAACTTTTGAAGAGACAGTTTTGGAAATGGAAATGTTCATGACTTGACTATGTTGAATCAGTCACCTGATTAATTTTTGTACCACCAATTGCCTGTTAAAATGTACTTTTGAAAGATTACAGATACCTTAATGAATTTAGATTATTTAATTTCAACAACATTTTGTCCCATTTACTGTATTCTTATTTGAATTCTAGGTTTTAAGTGATATTAGAAAATCATTTTATGGCATTTGGGAACTATGGTAGCTTTCTGTGTTTCTTTTGCTTGGAAATTTGGGAAGAGAAATTGGTTATTTGTTATTTCTTCATTACTTTCCCATTTATGAAACAAGAATATCAAAAGGAAAATCTTACAAAATGTAAATATTGAGTTGTAATTTGTATAAGTACACCAGTTAAATGATAAAAGTTTATTTTGTAGATTAGTTGGAATTTGTTGCATAAAATAGTACATATGCATATGAGCCAATACATGAATAGGCTACTATTTCTTTTCAGGTACTGCATGACATATTTATATATAGTCCTATATTTGCATAAAGTAAGTTTCACTGTTTTAGAATAAACTTATAAAATAGAATATGCTCTGGAGTTCAATCTTCTAGATCTGACATAGGATAATTTTGATGTTATAATTACTTAACTTGTAATTATGATTAAAATGTTGCTTTAATTTTACATGTAATCTGTGCATAACATACTAATACAATTCAGCTATCAGCAGTGTCACATGTGTTAACACTCTGTGTCTTTGGTAACCTGACAATCACCTCCAAGACATGTAACTAACCCTGGCGCGGGGCAAATACCTCACCCAGGCACCGTGCTGCCTGCTCACTTTAGGGCACTATTTTGTTTCCATAGCAACAAATAACACAGAAACAGTTTGGGAGTGGTTCCTAGTGTCATTCAGGAGAGTTCCTAAATAAGTTCTCTTGTCCTCACAGTATATTGTCGTCTTGGTAATTTGAGGACTTTTAATCACTTTCATTTAAAATTTCAAATTAAGGCTATATCTGAGAACAGGTGCTAAGGTTCTAGACCTAGAGTCATACTGTGTGTTCAGAGGCCAGAAGTCATTTTGTAAGTTTGTCACTGTTGCTGAGGAAACTCAATCCTGCTTGAACTGGAGAACACCCGTAATAATGATTTCCCCTGGCTTAGCTTTTTCTTGATTTCTACAGTGTTAGGTTTGTAATAAATTTTCTTCCAAATTTATTTCACCTGGGTCATTGCCTTAGCATACACTTCAACACTGAGATACATTGTTTCCATTATTCTTAAGTAATAGGATAAACAAGCCAAAATACAAAACTTTTCACAATCTAACAGAGACATATTCTAGTGTTTGGTTTCCCATAATTCCAATTTTTACATGACTCTTTCAGAGTTGCTTTAATTCATTCTGTAGTAGTCTTTCATTGCCAACCATCACTAACCTCCCATACCTTAGGTTGGTAGCTTTTTATTTGGGCATATCATTGTTTTTCATTTATAACCATTGACTGCATCGTGTTCACCAGATATCAGTGTAGTTCTTTTCATATAAAATTCCGTCTATTAAAGTATTAAATTTGCTGTCACATTTTTCTTTTAAGCATTCTGTGCTATGTTCTGTTCAGTGTCAGTGTCTTTAGTTCTGATTTTTCAATTTTGTCCCTCTCCTTTTCCTTGACTTGTTAGTCTGATCCAACCTCTTCTACCTCATCTGATGATTATCAATATGTTATGGAAGCTAAACTACAAGAAATGATCTCCATACGTAGGAAGGTAGTCCTACTGGACTTTACTTTCTATTGCTAAATAGAATCCATCTAAGTTTTTCTTTTCATTTATAAAAATTATGTTACTTTTATTTATTGATAATCAACCATCTGTGCAGTTCAGTGCTTCAGGAGCTTAAGATTGGACAATGGCAGGTTTGTGTTCAAACCATGCACAGTCTGCATGTTACATTTGGCTGATTTCATTGCTCATAAATAAGTCCAATGTTTTGCTGATGCTTGGATGTAACAGGCCTTTGTAGCTGACACATTTCAAGCAATGCTGTTCAGCTGCCTGTTTAAAGAAAGTTTATTTTTTGAAAATTACATTTGCAGTTGGTAGTAGCTTGCTTTACATTTTATTTCAATTTATTTAGAGGAAAAGTGTTAACCAAATCTTACATGTCAGGTACATTTTTCATATTTCTCAACAGGCCGAAGAGAGACATGGAAACATTGAAGAACGTATGAGACATCTAGAAGGTCAACTTGAAGAGAAAAATCAAGAACTTCAAAGAGTATGTATATTAAGTACCGCTCCCCTCGATCATCAGTTTATGGGCATGTAAGAAATGACTGTCTTTCTTGATTATGGGTTCTATTTAAAATCTTATGAATATGCTCTCTGCATCTAAAAGGAGAAAAGTTTCTGCCAATTTAATCACACCAGACATAAAATGAAATCAGTTTTAAAGCCAGAAAAATATAAAATACTTGTGTAAATGACTTTTATGTCAAGTTTATTTATTTTGTCTTGAATGTAAGGCTAGGCAAAGAGAGAAAATGAATGAGGAGCACAACAAAAGATTATCTGATACTGTGGACAGACTTCTGACTGAATCCAATGAGCGCTTACAGCTACATTTAAAGGAGAGAATGGCTGCTCTAGAAGAGAAGGTAAAATGACAGGAGAGAAGAATCGCATGAATATTTAGCAATGTGCTCATGATCATGGTTGTTTTATACCCTGCTGCATTTATTGCCCTGATCAGACGATCTATGTATTTTCCTTTGGTATATATGGTTTATTCTTAGAAGTGAACAAGTAGTTCTGTAAACATGTGTAAGATAAATTTTTAAAATGACTAACAAATGCTGATTAGCATGATTGTATAGATAAATGCATTAAAATGTGTTTTATAATGAAAATATTTTAGTTATCCTTCACCTGGTGTGCAAAAAAGAGTGATAAGACAAAAATCAATATTTTGGGGTATGTGGGAAGTCTCCTTGCATTGAACTATTCAAATGTTTCAAGTAACTAAATCTACTACTACTCTAAAAGCCAGAATGTGAGTAAATTTATATTACCAGTAGAACTAGTGTTAATCCCAGTACAGAGTTTAGGAATGCAATAATTTCAGCTGCATTGTTTCAAAAAAAAAAGTGCTTCTTTATAGTGTGCAATATCATTCACAATTTTATATGTCTCATTGATAGTTGGCAGCCACCAGACCAGCACGAGTTATGTGAGCTGGTTGCCAATTCCAGAGTATAAACAAAGGTAGGGGCTAAAACCCAGGTAGACAAATCATTTTGGAAATTTAGATTGAATACCAATCACTACTCAAGCTAGACATTTTCCCCTGATCCATACAAAATAGGAAAAATGTTTGCATGAAATTGTTAAAGTAGGTTGATTAATTTACCCATTACAAAGTGATAAGGTGGGCCTTCTTCCCATTCAATTCCAAACGCATGGCCACTTTGCCAACTGCTACACACTTAGTTTAATTTTACTAAAATTAAATTAGAAAAGAATACATTATTTTAAGTCATGCTTTGTAGTAAATATAAAAAAAGTGTACAGCTTTTACAACAGTAATATGTTCATGACAAAATTAAAAAAATTATACCTATGATACAACTTATTTTCATATGTCATGAGATGTAACAGTTTTGTAAATAGTTAAAATTTCATTTTTATTTCTCTAATAATTTAACCATTATTAGAAATTAATTATTCTGTATTTGAAATAGAAGTCCAGAAATTAAACTTTTCAAAAATATGATCTGATAATTTATTTTTTTCTTTATTTTTTTCAGGTAATAAAAATGAGTTCATCTGAATTCTTTATCTATAACACCTTTGGTTAATATTTCACTGTTACTCACTTTTTCTCATTTTAAGAGTAACTTTATTATTTCAAATTTTAAAAGACTGAGAAGAGGAAAACATAAATAGCTTAAAAGATAATATTTATTCCATTCGTCAATCAAGTGTTGCAAAATAACATTTCCCATTTAAATTATGTATTTTTCTAAATGTTAAGGTATCATGTGTAAAGATTCTATTTAAATTTGGTTTCCACAGAAACCAAGAAATAGATGCACCAAGGAAGGAATCAAAGAGAAGGAATCAAAGAAGATTCTTGAGCAATAAAAAATTAATCTACATATTTAATTATTTTCTGTTTTGTTAATTCTTTATTTTTTTATTTTCTTTAGAATGTTTTAATTCAAGAATCAGAAACTTTCAGAAAGAATCTGGAAGAATCTTTACATGATAAGGTATAATGGAAACTTACATTTTATCCATTTTTCTATTTTACACTGATGAATGTTTTGTTGTGAAATAAACTTGATAAGAAATAAGTTTAGGATGTTATCTTTTTAAAAAATTTTAACTTTTATATCATACATACAGAAAAGTGTGCATATATAGAAAGAGCTTGATGAATTTTTACAAACAAAACACACTAAAAATCAACAGTATGGTAGCCCCCTCTTGTTAACGTACAATTACTACTTTTATCCTAAATGATAATCATTGTCTTGACTTCTAACAGAAAAAAAAAATGCTTTTGACTTTTTGTGCTTTATACAAATGGAATAAAAATGTATGCACTAATTTGTGTTTAGTTTGAGGTTATCATTTTGGTAGAAATGCATTAAATATCTATTATGCATAATAAATTATGCTGTGTATTTGCAAACATGATCCTAATTCCAAAGTAGCTGAAAAATGTAATTGAGAGAGAACACACCTTTGACAAAACAGCGAGTTGCAGATGCCAAGTGTCAAATGAGTGAAGTAGACAGTAAGAGCTACAGGTGGGAGAGATCACAATACATTGCTGCTATAAAGAAGGCTTCAGGAAGGTGTGAGTTGACAAAACTTTAAGGAATGGTAGGACTATGTCGCAAGCTTTTCAAATACAGTGCATGTGGCATGATTGCAGGTGCTTTGTGTGGGGAGGGGGTGAGGTAGGGAGTCTGATATCTTAAATAATAATGGGCATAACAATTTTGGCTAGAATCAGTTACTCCCATTGTAGGATATATGGTAGAAGAGGCAGGTAAGGACTAAATTATGAAATGTTAAAAGCTGTAATTGCTAATATGTCTTTTCCTCCTTCATTAGCCTGTAAATTCCTGTGAGCAGTTTTGTCAGATTTCATTTTGTTTAGCATAAGCATATAATATAATATAAAATCACTAATTTAAGAAGTGACATATACATGTGTGTTGAACAAAAGAGAAAGGAGAGAGAGAGGGAGCAAAGGAGGGAAGGGAGGGAGGGACAGAGGGAAGATCTGGCAATAGTATGGCATAGGGAAAGTATTGGAAAAGATGAGAGAATAAAAATTAAAAAAAAAAGCAATTGTACATTTAGCCCCACTGAATGTTAAATATTATGATGTTAATTTAAAGCTGTTTGGTCCCACAGTCAGAGTATATAAGATCTCCTGCAAGAGAGATCTGCTGTAGCAATATAATATGGTGCCTAGAAGATAGCATCTAATTCTTTCTGAAGTTGTTAAGAAAGTCTACACAGGGGAGGTGCCATTTCATCAGGCTCTTGGAGGCATATAAGATCTTACCAAATAGAGAAGGGTAGGGCAGAGGACAGAGCCTATGTGATAGCACAAGGAAAACAAAGATGGTTGATTTGCTGAATCACCAGAAGTTTGCTGTGACTGGTATGTGTTTAAAGAACTAGGTTGTGACCAGATTGTGGATTTTGGACTTGATCCTGTTATGTAATGTTATGTTATCCAAAGCTCTGTGTGCTCCTGGCAAGATCCCCAGAACCCACTCCCCCACCACCTACCCAAGCCTTGTAGCTTCAACAATCTGCCTAAGCAACCAGCAGAACTAAACATTCCATGCTTTGCACCCTTGTTCATGCTAGTAACTAGAGGAGGCAAATCCCAGGTCATACCTCATTTCTGAATATCATCCCATACAGCTGAACATATTTCCTAATCTAACTACTACTCAGATTTTGACTCAATAATCTATAACTGATTGTCCATCATTAGCAAAATCTCCTGTATATTCAGCCTCTTCTTATTGTTTCTCTTCATCATGTTGATCTCTAAAATATGAAATTCCTAGGACTGGTTTTTGAATTTCTTCTCCATATTCAGTCCCTGAGTTCAGTCTCATTTGATCTCATGGATTTAAATACCATCTATAAACTGAGCATTTCCAAATTTAGATCACCTACTGGGTCCTCTCTGCTAAGAGAGTTCATGCATTCAAGAGCCAACTCAGTATCTTTATTTGGACACTTTGGCACCTCAAACATTACAAGTCAATCCCTCCACCCCAAACGCCAGCACCACCAGTCTAAACTACCACCAGCAGCCATCTTCTCATTTTCTCAGTAAATCACAACTCCTTCTCTTACTCAGGTTAACCTTGCAGTCATTCTTGACCCCTTTCTTTATCTCCCACCCCACATTCAGTCCAATAGCAAATTTGTTAGTTCTGTCATCAAGATATAACCAAAATCCAGCCATTCTCTCTAACACCATTATTATCCAGGCCACAATTCTCTTGCCTATGTTTTTGGAAGAACAGTAATAACTTTATTCTTCCCTCCTTCCCAATCTTAGTCAACGGTCCATTTCACTGCTCTTAGAATGATCATGTTACCTCTCTACTCAAAAATCCTCTAGTCATTTGCTACCTCACTCAGAGTAAAAACCAAAGACTTCAAAATGGTTGACCAGGCTTTCAAGACTACCCTTCCCAAGCCCTGCAACCACACTTTTCTAAATCTATTCCCTATCTGTCTTTCTCTTTAACCTGTCCATTTCTGCCACAGTGACCTCCTTGCCTACTCCTTCAACAAATATACTCCCCTCCCAATAAGGGGCATTTGCAACCCCTGCTATGCCTTTTCCTAAGACATTCCCTTTTTTTTTTAACTCCCTTCCTTTAGGTCTTTGCTCAAATAACACTTTATTTGAGAGCCCTTCCATGACCCTTTTATTTTCTGTTTCCTCCCAACATCCTATAGACTCTGTTTATTATCTTTTTTACTAGATTATAAATTATGTGAGGGCAGGGAATTTTTTATTTTGCTACTTTATCATAGTGTGTAGCACAACAGAGGTGCTCTATGCATATTTGTGGAAATAACAAACAAAAGAATTAATAAATGCAATAAGAAACCATTGAATATTTTAGGCAAATAATTTATCTGATCATATGTATTTTTTAAAATGATACAACTACGGGCACTTAGGTGGCGCAGTCAGTTAAGCGTCTGACTCTTGGTTTTAGCTCAGGTCATGATCTCAAGGTCCTGAGATCGGGCCCCACATTGGACTCCACACTTAGCTCACAGTCTGCTTGAGATTCTTTCTCCCTCTCCCCCTCGTGCTCATGCTCGCTCTCTCTCTCTCTAAAATAAATAATTTTTTATTAAAAAAATAAAATGATACAACTAGCAGAAGATTGTGTAGAGAAGAGATTGGAGACAGCACCACTTCTGTGGAAGCTGGTGAAATAATGCAGGAAAAAAGTAAAAAATGTATTAAGTAGAATGATGGTACTAAGAATAAAAAGGGCAAATGAGAGAAATATTGGCAAAGCCACACTGACAAAAATGTATAGTGAGAAATGAAGTATGATTCAAGTAAAATGTCAAGCATTGGCTGGTGGGACAGGAAATAAAACAGCAATAGAAAATCCAGAAGGATACATTTAAACTTTTATAACATTATAAAAGTTATAATCATGAAAACAAAATTAAATGCTTACATAAGCATTTAATTAAGGGCTATAAGACAACCTTTATCTTAAAAAATCTACGGACTGGAAGTATAATACCAATCTGAGAAAATTTTCAGATGCACAAATAATGCTACCAATATCAAACTGATAATTTTAACTTAAAATAGGTAATCATTTTTTTCCCATCTTTTTAATCCATTTTTCTTTCTCTTCATCCATGTGTACTACAATGCTTATAGAATAATCAGTCCTTCACTTACTGCATAAATAAGACCTTTTCTTTATTTTTTAACTGGCTCTGATTATGACTCTGCATTTTGAAGTGATGTATACATAACTAGTCATAATCTTAGGATTCCCATATGTTTGCAAAAATTTAGGATTAATGAATGCCAGACAGTATAGATAATTTTTATTGATTTCTGCTATTCACATTTCATTACAAGGGAAAAATTAGGCATATTTTACTGTCAAGATTATTATCTTTAATAAAACTATATCCATCAGTTTTCTATTTTTAAAAAGCCATTAAGCTTGGTAGCTTGGTTTGTCATAGTTGAATGTTGGTATTATTGGCATTTACACATCTTCTGAGTAAAACTTCTTTGATTTTTAGGAAAGATTAGCAGAAGAAATTGAAAAGCTGAGATCTGAACTTGACCAATTGAAAATGAGAACTGGCTCTTTAATTGAACCCACAATATCAAGGTAATAGTAAATTAAAATCTTATCTATCGCTCACCAAAAATCAATATGAATTTTTTATGATTTCATATTGCCTCAAATAAAATAAATAAGTACCTCTTATTGCTCAGCAGGCATTGCCCTATCTTCACTCCTGACTGATTTATTGTTTCTATATTCAAAAATCATTCTCTAATTTAGTAATCTGTCCTGCAAATATGCAATAAAAATTTAAATTATTACCTTTTGTATTCTGCATTTAATTACATAGCTATAAATACATAAAAAGAGTGTTCAATGAAGAAATGGAACTGTATATAAGGAGATTACATCTCATTCTAGGAAGCGGCAACACCTCTTTTCTCTACATGCAGAAATGTTTTCAATGCTTAATGTTACTGAAGAAATATCATTAATTATGGTCCCTTAGCACCTACCTTTTTTGTTAAATTAATTGCAGATACAGAGTGAAGGAGAAATTATACATGTTTTAAAAACAAATATGTTTAGCCATACTCATCTACTTTGACTCAATACCTCATCTTGAAAGAAAGAAGCAATGATATGATTATTTACTCTCTAGATAGATAGATCAATCTTGATAATTCACATATAATTTTCTTTTGTGCTAGGGCCTTTTATTTAAGGTTAATAAGAAACCCTACAAGGATTTACTTATTTGATTATTTATTTAACAACACAATCATATCAGCTATCTGAAACTTTTGACCACCACAGACTTTTAGAAGTTCATTTTTCTTGGTCTTATACTTATCCTAAGAATGTTAGCTCCACAGAGGCTGGAATTTTTGTTTGTTTTGGTTACTATAATCTCAGCACCTAAAACAAACAAATAAACAAACATTGGTATATTAAACTCACAATAGATATCACTGAATGAATGAATATCTAATAAAGCATTTTTCAGATACTCAGAGGAAAAATCCAAGTTAAAAAAATTCAAAAGGTGCTTATATCCTCTTTAATGTAAGTATTAATAAAAGTAATAATGTAAGTATTAATAAAAATCAAGGTGCTTATATTCTCTTTAATGTAAAGTATTAATAAAAATAAAATTCAGCATTTTGAGTATTTCTACCTTCAGTTTAATATAAGAAACACAGTTCTGCAGGCATGAAAACACCCAAAGAACTTTTAAAAATGTAGGTCTTTAATTTAGAAAATCTTGTTTATTTGTCTAAATGCTTTGTTATGATTTATGTATCTGAACTGAAGCTATTTTTAATTCAGTGATATATATTCACAAGGTGGTGATGATGACAATGATGGTGTTGATGAAGGGCAAGAGCTTATAAAAAATATCAACAGAGTGAATACCTAGAATGAGCATCATCCAGTCAACAAGTTTAATATTTTTAATAGAGCCAAATGGCCATTTTGTTGGCTTTTTGACCTTTGGTCTCAGAAGTACAGAGTTGTATTTTAAAAAGGGGGGTCCTGGGGTGTGAGGAGAGAGACAAACAAAAAACCAGACTCTTAACTATAAAGAACAAACTGGTGGTTACCAGAGGGAAAGGCGGTGGGGGGATGGGTGAAATAGGTAAAGAGGATTAAGAGTACACTTATTGTGATGAGTACTGAGTAATGTATAAAATTGTTGAATCACTATATTGTACATCTGAAACTAATATGACACTCTACATTAATTATACTGGAATTAAATATATACATACATATCATTGGGGAAAAAAACAGAGTTGTAGAAGTATTGTCTAAAATTTCATCACTGCAGTGAGTCATCATGGACAGCCTAATAATGGGACACTTATCCACAACGAAGGATCATCGTGGAAGCTTGGGAAGTACATATAGAACAATTCTTCTCTGATACAACAGCTTGTAGTAGAAACAAAGCTAGACCAAGAATAAGAAGACTGATATCCCTAGGTCTAAGACAAGCTATTACTAGCTGTTTGATTTTGGAAAGCCTATTTTCCTTAATAAGTTCAAATTTCATATGTATTTTACATAAATTGTATATAAAATAATATTTTTATGACTATCTCACAAGCTTACTCTGTGACATGTGATCAAAAGGGGGTTTTGTAAACAGTAAATCATGAGTATAAAGTATTATAGGAATTACTGATAGATAAACTGATGGGATGGAATTATAATATGGTATAAGATAACAATATTTATTGAACAGCAATTATAAACTGATGGGATGGAATTACAATATGTTATAAGATAACAATATTTATTGAACAGCAATTATTTATCAAACATCCATGCTTCTGAGTGCACAATTTAAAAAGAAATTATAAAGAAAACAGAAGATGCATGAGAATTTCATTGATCATACAGGCAGAGAGGTAGGAAGAGATGAGCTAAAGTTGGTGAATATCAGTAACTAATATCCTCTACTAGTATCTCATCTGAGAATAATAAATGGCTGGAGGGTCTGATTTAGCTCACCTTTGAAGAAAGGTAGGATCTGGGTCGTTAGAAAGGACAATGGAAGACATTTCAGGAATCTTAGAGATGGGTAAAAGATGTTCTCTAAGAAAATTCAGACTTGATTTATCTATGGAAGTTCTTTGGTGAGATTATATGCAAGAGTTACAGGAGATTCAGGTGGGGAAACTGCAAGGGTTCATATCTAAAGGAACCGGTGACTATATTGTAACTTAGACCTCCGAATGACTCAAAATATTGTACACCAGAAATTATTTAAAAGTTGAAATGTAGGAAATATTGACTCTGATTTCTGTTAGTAAAGTAGCTCTTGGAGTTGAATAAAAGAAGAGAGGTGAGCGGTAACTGCTTTAGATGAAGTATAAGCAATGGGCTCTTCTAAAGTTGCGTTGGTTCAGGCCTTTTGCTCTTTCAAGATCAATTATGCACTTTCTACTTGCAAGAAACTGCATTGGAGATATAGTGGTAATGGTGACGAAGAGTACATGTTTCAAACGGGAAATACAGGGATACTGTGAGGACAATTACAATAGAGGGGCTACAATAATATAAGACAAGGGGAATTTTAATCTGAGACTTTAAAAATGTTAACCACATAAACGTGTGATGACTATTTCCAGCAGAAAGAACAGTATGTTCAAAGGCTTAGGATTAGAGGAAAGTGTGAGTTGTTCGAGAAATTGAAAGGAAGTCTGTATGGCTGGAGAGAGAAGAGGCAGATACTAACTAGAAGTGAAGCTGGAATAAGAAGGAGGGTTCTAGATTGTCGAGGGCATTGTAAGGCCATTGAAGAGTATTAAGCAGTGCATCAATAGGAGCAGATCTGTGTTTTGGTTCATGTTTTTATAATTGACTTGGAGTTGAGAGATAAAACAACAAGAAAACACTACTCCTAGAATGATGAGTTATAATTTTAGAATCTCCACTCTGATGACCATAGAGATATTACCCAGGCAGTGACAGAAAAAATGTACTTAGAATATTCTGAGGTAGACAGTTTAGACTGTATAATAATTAATTTCATTCATTCATTATCTAACCAAATATTTATCAAGTGTTTATTATATGCTAGGAATACCTCCTTAAGCATACAGTGGTGATTAAAATCTGACCTTTGTCTTCATGAAACACAGACCCTGTTATAGAGGCTGAGAGAAGTCCTATTTATGAGTATAACCTGGTTCATTAGTTTTTATATATGACTAATCCATAATAAAACCAGTTTGCTTGATTAAATTTGAAGCTCACCACTATAAAAATGAACAGCTGTCCTCTACTTGGGGAATGATTTCTTAGTCCATTTGCTTTAAAGTTCTATTTGACAAAACCAGGATTTGCATCCGTTAGGTCAGTGTCTTCTACTGTTGCGAAAACCTAGAACTTACCTAACCTTTTCTAATCTTGCCTAACATTTGGAAATGGTTGGTTTTTCCCTTTTCTTTTTCCACAAAGAGAACTAATAGAAAGAGCATAGTAGATCATCAGGACCTCCAGTTCAAAAGAAAATACAGCATTAAGCATATTTCGTACTGATGATAGAGCATTTTATAGGACAGCACGCTGTCACTGTTCTCATAACGATTATAGCAATAAAATGAATGTGTTGTAAATCTCTATATAAATAATGTGTCTGGAGAAACCTTTATTACACTTTGATTACAGTTTACTTTATTATCATGTTTATTGAAAACCAGTGTGATAATATTTTTCTATTGGAATTTTCCAACTATTTCATCTCTAAGCAGATTTCAGAATCAAATGTGCTTATCAAAAGATTTTTCTTTATCTTTTTGAAACAGTGTCTTAACAAAAGCTGAAAAATTATCTGGTGGTATGTCCTATTTTGTTAAAAAAAATAAAGGGATACAGCAATAAATAACATATGTTGATATGTACACTAAATACTTCAACAAAAAAGAATTGCCAGAATTTAAGCCAATGGATCTTGGTTGTCCATCTTAACATGTTTAATTTTACTACCACAATTGAAAATGATAATTGATGAACAAACAGATTTTTTCTATTCTAAACAGAAAATTCACTTCACTTTCGGGAATGAACCTGAGACTGGAATTTTTGACATAAGCCTCAGAAGAGACCTCAAAGAATCATGACAATTCATCAGTTTTCTTCCTTGAATTTTTCTTTTTTCTTGAGGGTTTATGCTTTATTCTTTATTGACAATTAAGCAGTTGATAGTGATTTGCTGGGAAGTTTAACTTTTGCGATTGGTCATGTTTCGTATTTTTCCTTTTTCCAGAACTCATCTAGACACCTCAGCTGAGTTGCGGTATTCTGTTGGATCCCTAGTGGACAGCCAGTCTGATTACAGAACAACTAAAGTAATAAGAAGACCCAGGAGGGGCCGCATGGGTGTGCGAAGAGATGAGCCAAAGGTTAATTTTTTTTTTTATTTCAAGTCTTTGATGATTCTAAGTAAATATCTTACTCCATCTTGAATAGAATTTTAATACTGAGAGAATTCCAACTGCTAGCATTTTTAGTTTCAAGCATGACATATGACATATTTTTAAAACTATAACTAATGCAAAACCACTGCTATGTACCAGAAGTTAAACTAAGCATTCCCCATGCATGTATCCACATAACCTTTTGAATTTGGTTCTATTTTTATGCTAACTTCAGACATAAAAAGATTGAAGCTCAGAAATTTTAAGTGTTCAACACTATACAGCCAGCAAAGTGATAGAGTCAAAACTTGAACCTTTATTTGTGTGGTTTCGAATTCCATGCTTTTTTATCCCTTATGCTGTATTGCCAAACAAATGGACTCTTGGTTTGCTTGGGCACTTATGCAATATGAATATATTGTTAATTAAGATTAATTAAATATTTTAATTATAATTGCTATTTTAATAAAACTTTGAGGAAAATGTACATAGACTATTGAAAGTGTTTATAGAGAACTCTTCATGATAAACTGCAGTGCCAATCTTCATTCGTTCGCTACATATAAGCCATGTATATTGTAAGTGTCGAGTGGCATTTTATAGAGAAGTACTATAGTTCCTTTGTGCCCTAAGTATAAGTTGTTCTCCGCAACCACTTTCATGTGTTGAATACTATATAACCTAATTGTCCTTACTTGTATACAGGTCCTTGATACCCTATGGTTGTTTTTTTTTTTTTCAAGAGCTGGACACTCAACCCAGGAGTACCTGGGTGGCTCAATCTTTTTTTTTTTTTTAAAGACTTTATTTATTTGACAGAGAGAGACACAGCGAGAGAGGGAACACAAGCAGGGGGAGTGGGAGAGGGAAAAGCAGGCTTCCCGCGGAGCAGGGAGCCCGATGCGGGGCTCGATCCCAGGACCCTGGGATCATGACCTGGGTGGAAGGCAGACGCTCAACGACTGAGCCACCCAGGCGCCCCTACCCTATGGTTTTTAATTGGTACCTATGTCATGTATAAATTAATCCTTCATAGTAGGCATTCAATATCTGTTAAATGAATGAATAAGAAGTGAACAAATGAAGAATAAATCAAGTCCATCTTAGTTCTTTTCTCATTTGTATATGACAAATAAATTAGTGCTACTTGGTACCAAAAAAATTTATAACACAAATGCTAATTCAGGTCCTCAAATCTTAAATAAATACTGTGGTATTTACATGGGGTCCCCCCTCAGAAAATCATTTTACATCATCACAAAAATGAAAACCATTTTTTAAAATGCAGAAAACTCTAGGTCCCCTCTCTCTTACTTCCCTTCCTCTCCCACCCTCAGATAACAGCTTGAAAAACACCAATAGATATATTATCTTTGGGGGCACCTGGCTGGCTTAGTCAGTAGAGCATGCAACTCTTGATCTTGGGGTCATGAGTTGGAGCCCCACATGGGGCGTAGAGATTACTTACAAAAAAAGATTTTCATTCACATGAGGGATTTCTTATATCAAATAAAAACCATAGTCATGTAAATTAGTGTGCCTTGGGCTTAAAAAATCAATGAAGCATTTAAGTGATCAGAGAAGTAGAGATGAAATTAAATCACTTTTCAATATTATTTTAATTATACTTTGTTAGAATCTATGTAAATGAATGTTTGGGAGAGAATTATTATATAACTAGTGTGATAATATTTGCAGTCTCAGTCTATAATAAGAAAGTGTAAGTAAGACTAATATAAGAGATGGAAATGCTCCAGTACAAGTGAATAGAGATTGTTATATTTGGAAAGAAGGAAAAATGTTTCAAACATAGATGCTTTAAAGTGATTGTTAACTTCAAGTGGGGTTGAACTAGAAATCATGCATAAGTTTATCATCATTATTCCTATTAAAATCTTGGTATTTATGCTGACAATTAATATCTGCCATTACTTAAGATGTCAAGGAAATATTTTATTGAAACAATGCATTAAAATGGTAATAATCAGTTCTGCTTTTGCTAGGTAAACTATAAAGCATGAGTGCTTTTTGTTGATATTTTTCAGAATAGTGCTTTAATAATGAGCAATATGATACATACGGTAATTACTCATTTACCACACAGGTGAAGTCTCTTGGGGATCATGAGTGGAATAGAACTCAGCAAATTGGAGTGCTAAGCAGCCACCCTTTTGAAAGTGACACAGAAATGTCTGATATTGATGATGATGACAGAGAAACTATTTTTAGCTCAATGGATCTTCTCTCTCCAAGCGGTCATTCTGATGCCCAGACTCTAGCCATGATGCTTCAGGAACAATTGGATGCCATCAACAAAGAAATCAGGTGAGTTCGGGCGCCTGGGTGGCTCAGTTGGTTAAGCGACTGCCTTCGGCTCAGGTCATGGTCCTGGAGTCCCGGGATCGAGTCCCACATCGGGCTCCCTGCTTGGCGGGGGGTCTGCTTCTCCCTCTGACCCTCCCCCCTCTCATGTGCTCTCTCTCTCTCATTCTCTCTCTCAAATAAATAAATAAAATCTTTAAAAAAAAAAAGAAATCAGGTGAGTTCAATTATCACTGATGGTTTTAAAGGATTAGAAGACCTTGATACTAAAAATGAGATAATTAAACCAGAAGCACAGGCATCATCTGGGAACCTTTGAATTTCAAAGCACTTTTTACATTTAAATTTACTGTTTAAATGATATTTGTGGTAATAAGGTACATTCTTAAAGTACATTTAACACTGCCATAAAGGTACTAAATAGTATGCAATTAATATGCAGCCAGCTAGGGCGCCTGGGTGGCTCAGTTGGTTAAGCGACTGCCTTCGGCTCAGGTCATGATCCTGGAGTCCCTGGATCGAGTCCCGCATCGGGCTCCCTGCTCGGCGGGGAGTCTGCTTCATCCTCTGACCCTATCCCCTCTCATGTGTTCTCTCTCTCTCATTCTCTCTCTCTCAAATAAATTAATTAAAAAAAAATCTTTAAAAAAATAAAAAAAAATATGCAGCCAGGTCCTTAAAACTATTTAGACATCAGAGTGAAATTAACTAGGACTGAATTATTTCATAGTAGATATGAAAAAAATGCACTATCACCACAGTGGATAATAGATGGTTTCCAAAGAGTAGATTACATTATAGAGTTGAAGTTGTACAAGTTATCAATTCAAACATTGAGAAATGTTGATAATTTCAATTTTTAACTTAATATATACTGTCTCAAATCCCAATGATGTTAGTAGTCTTTACTTAATCATTAACTTGACTAACCCCAGTAAAGAACCTAACTGTGTCAGGTGGATTTACAGTCTTTCAAACATCGGGAAACTACTCTTAACTTGTTTTTTCTCAATGGATGAACAGTTTTTTAATATTTTGAACAATGGGTTTTGTTTGTTTGTTTGTTTTTCTGGCTCTAGCTAAGTGTGTTACCTCCTAATACAATTCACATCTATCCAGTTCTCTTCTTTTTTTTTTTTTTTAAATATATATTTTTTTAATTTTATTTATTTATTCATGAGAGACAGAGAGAGAGAGAGAGAGAGGCAGAGGGAGAAGCAGGCTCCCAAGGAGCAGGGAGCCCGATGCGGGACTCGATCCCAGGACCCTGAGATCATGACCTGAGCCAAAGGCAGACGCCCAACCATCTGAGCCACCCAGGCGCCCTATCCAGTTCTCTTCTATCATCAGCCTATTGCACATTATAATAGGTTCTCATGTAGATGACAATAATTCTTTCTGGTTTCCTCACGGTGTATGGGTTCCCATCTAATCCAAAGTAACACTGCAACCAGAGAAGACTTTTTTAAAACCCAATGTGCTTAGGTAAAGTAACCCTTTTTCAAACCCTTCAGTTGCTCTTAAGGTAAAGAACAAAATACTCCATATTGTCTACAGTGCCCCACCTTCCTCAACATTCTCACCTACCTGATTCCATGTTCCATTATACATGACTTCCAGTTCTTTGAATCTTCCTTGCTCTCTCCTTTGTGGTTGCTGTTCCTTTCTTCTAGAACATTCTCCTCATTCCACACCATTGTCCCATAACATTTCACCCTCTTTACTCTTACCACCATCCCTTCTTCTGTCCTTCAGTTCATTTTACTGTCTTTCTTACCTTCATTAGATTGTAAATTATATAAGAACAAGAAATATATCTTGTTTTGCTCACTGTCTTTTATATCCAGATATTAGCACTTTTCTTGATAAATAGAAAGTGTTTCATAAATATTTGATTAGTATGAATAGAAAAAATAATACAGAACATAAATTCAAACTGAATGACATTTTTTGATGCTACAGAGCTAATGATTTAACACACTGAGTAGATTTGAAATCGAGTATGTATCTGTGATATTTGTTTTCATCGAGAATATATACACACACCCTCAATAACAACCCATGTCCCTCTAGGACCTCAACTTTGTTACCTTAGGGTAGTAAAGCCCAGTTATAATCTTGGTCTAGACTAATTAAGTTGATACCCTTTTATATGTTTCCTTGCTGACCCTAATAATGTATTTAATATAGTTGCTAGTTTTTAAGAAATTAAGAACTACATATAATTCAAGTATATAGCAACATTCAAAAGAAGTAGGTATTTTGGACAGCAGGGGAAGATGGTGGAGTAGGAGGACTCTAAGCTCATCTCATCCCATGGATACAACTACAACACTCACATAAGTGAATATAACCCAGAAAATGATCTGAAGACTGGAAGAACAAATTCCACAACTAAAGGTAAAGAATATATCTGTAAAAATTAGTCAAGGGATTCACAAAATAAAAGGATGTAAAATATGACACCATATACCTAAAATGTGGTGTGGAAAGGATTAAAGAATGGGTTGAAACTTAAAAATGAGTCAATGGAAAAATCAAAAAGAAATTAAAAATTACATGGAAACAAATCAAAATGAAAATGCAATGGTCCATAATCTTTGGGATGCAGCAAAAGTGGTTCTAAGAGGAAAGTTTATAACAATGCAAGCTAGAAGCAAGAAAAATCTCAAATAACCAATCTAACTTTACACCTAAAGGAGCTAGAAAAATAACAAACAAAACGCAAAACCAGAGAAGGAAGGAAATAATAAAGGTTAGAGCAGAAATAAATGATATAGAAACTAAAAATAAAGGAACAAACAAAAACTAAAGAAGAGATAAATGAAACCAGGAGTTGATTCATTAAGATCAACAAAATTGATAAACACTTAGCTAGACTCATAAAATAAAATAAAGACCCATATAAACAAATCACAAATGAAAGAGAAGAAATAATAAGCAACACCAAAGAAATACAAACAATTGTAAGAGAATATTATGAAAAATTATACGCCAACAAATTGGACAAACTTGAAGAAATGGATAAATTCCTAGAAATGTATAACCTGAAGCAAGAAGAAATAGAAAATTTGAACATTTGAAGAAGAGGTAATACCAATTCATTTCAAACTATTCCAAAAAATATAAGATAAAGGAAAACTTTCAAATCCATTCTATGAGGCCAGTATCACCCTGATACCAAAACCAGATAAAGACATCACAAAAAAAAAGAGAACTATAGGCCAATATCTCTGATGAACATAGATGCAAAAATTCTCAACAAAATAGTAGCAAACCAAATCCAACAATACATTAAAAAAATCATTCACTACAATCAAGTGGGATTTAGTCCCAGAATGCAAGGGTGGTTAAATATTCACAAATCCATCAATGTGATATATCACATCAATAAGAAAAAGGATAAAAACCATATGATCATTTCAATAGATGAAGAAAAAGCATTTGACAAAGTACAATATCCATTTATGATAAAAACCCTCAACAGAGTAGATTTAGAGGGAAAATATCTCAACATAATAAAGACTTTACATGAAAAACCCACAAAAATATCATACTCAGTGATGAAAAACAGAGCTTTTCCCTTAAGGTCAGGAAAAAGACAAGTATGTCCACTCTCACCACTGTTACTCAACATAGTACTGGAAGTCCTAGCCATAGCAATTAGACAATAAAAAGAAAGAAAAAATGTCCAGATTGGTAAGGAAGAACTAATACTTTCACTAATTGCAGATGACATGATACTATATATAAAAAAACCCTAAAGACTCTACCAAAGGGCGCCTGGGTGGCTCAGTCGTTAAGCGTCTGCCTTCGGCTCAGGTCATGATCCCAGGGTCCTGGGATCGAGTCCCACATCGGGCTCCCGGCTCAGCAGGAAGCCTGCTTCTCCCTCTCCCACTCCCGCTGCTTGTGTTCCTGCTCTTGCTATCTCTGTCTCTGTCAAATAAATAAATAAAATCTTTGAAAAAAAAAAAAAAAAAAAAAGACTCTACCAAAAAACTACTAGAACTAATAAATGAATTCATTAAGGTGGCAGGATACAAAATCAATGTACAGAAATCTGTTGCATTTCTATACACTAATAATGAAGCAATCCCATTTACAAATGCACTAAAAAAATAATGAAATATGTTGGCATAAACTTAACCAAGGAGGTGAAAGACCTCTACTATGAAAACTATTAAATGTTGATGAAAGAAATAAAAAACAACATAAAAAATGCAAAGACATTCCATGTTCATGGATTAGAAGAACAAATATTGTTAAAATGTCTATACTACCCAAAGCAATCTACAAATTTAATGCAATCCCTATCAAAATACCAATAATATTTTTCACAAAACTAGAACAATCCTAAAATTTGTGTGGAACCACAATAGACCCTGAATAGCCAAAGCAATCTTGAAAAAGAAAAAACTGGACATATCACAATTCCAGACTTCAAGTTATATTACAAACCTTTAGTAAAACAGTATGGTATTGGCATAAAAATAGACACATAGATCAATGGAACATCATAGAAAACAAAGAAATAAACTCACAAATATATGGTCAATTAATCTTAGAGGAGGAAAGAATATACAATGGGAAAAAAACAGTCTCTTCAACAAATAGTGTGAGAAAACTGGACAGCTACATGCAAAAGAATGAAACTGGACCACTTTCTTATACTATACACAAATTCAAAATGGATTAAAGATCTAAATGTGAGACATGAAACTCTAAAAATCCTAGAAGAGCGCATAGGCAGTAATTTCTGACATCAGCCATAGCAACAGTTTTCTAGATATGTCTCCTGAGACAAGGGAAGCAAAAGTAAAAACGAACTATTGGGACTACATCAAAATAAAAAGCTTCTGCACAGTTAAGGAAACAATCAACAAAGCTAGAAGGTAACCTATGGAATGGGAGAAGATATTTGCAAATGACATATCCGATAAAGGGTTAAATTCAAAATATATAAAAAATTTATACAACTCAACACCCCCCCAAAAAATAAATAATCCAATTAAAATGGGTAAAAGACATGAATAGACATTTTTCCAAAGAAGACATACAGATGGCCAACAGACACATGAAAAGATGCTCAACATCACTAATCATCAGGGAAATGCAAATCAAAAGCACAATGAGATACTACTTCACAACTGTCAGAATGGCTAAAATCAAAAACACAAGAAATAGCAGGTGTTGGTGAGGATATGGAGCAAGGAGAATCCTCTTACACTGCTGGTGGGAATGCAAACTGGTGCAGCCACTCTGGAAAACAGTACAGAGGTTCCTCAAAAAGTTAAAAAGAGAACTACCCGAGACACCTGGGTGGCTCAGTTGGTTAAGCATCTGCCTTTGGCTCAGGTCATGATCCCAGGGTCCTGGAATCAAGTCCCACATTGGACTCCTTGCTCAGCAGGGAGCCTGCTTCTCCCTTTGCCTGCCGCTCCCCTTGCTTGTGGGCTCTCTCTCTCTCTGACAAATAAGTAAAATCTTAAAAAAAAAAAAAATAGAACTGCCCTAAGATCCAGTAATCACACTACTAGGTATTTACTCAAAAAATACCAAAACACTAATTCAAAGGGATTCATGCAACCCTATGTTTATTGCAGCATTATTTACAGTAACCAAGCTATGGAAACAGCCCAAGTGTCCATTGATAGATAAATGGATAAAGAAGTGGTATATACATACAATGGAAAATTATTCAGCCCTAAAATAGAATGAAAACTTGGGGCACCTGAGTGGGTCAGTTGGCTAAGTATCTGACTCTTGATTTCGGCTCAGGTCATGATCTTAGGGTTGTGAGATTGAGCCCTGCCTCAGGCTCTGCATGGAGCCTGCTTAAGATTCTCTTGCTGGAGAAGAGGTGGGTGGGGGGATGGGGTAACTGGGTGATGGGCATTAAGGAGGGCACTTGAACTAATGAGCACTGAGTGTTATATGCAACTGATGAATCACTAAATTCTACCTCTGAAACTAATAATACAGTATATGTTAATTAAATTGAATTTAAATAAAAAATTAAAAAAAAAGAAATGCACATGTTGCAGGTGTACAACATAAAAAAAATCCCCCTCTCCCTCTGCCCCTCACCTCCCCTCACTCACATGTGTGCATCTGTGTGTGCTCTCTTTTTCGCTCTCTCAAAAAAAAAAAAAAAAGAAGAACGAAATCTTGCCATTCGCAACAACATGGATGGAGCTAGAGAGTATAATGCTAAGTGAAGTAAGTCAGAGAAAGCCAAATACCATACCATCTCACTCATATGTAGAATTTAAGAAACAAACGGGCAAAGGGAAAAAAGGGAGGCAAACCAAGAAACAGACTCTTAACTGTAGAGAACAAACTGATGGTTACCAGAGGGGAGAGGGTGGGAGGGTGGGTGAAATAGGTGATGGGGATTAAAGAGTACACTTATCATGATGAGCACTGAATATGCATGGAAGTGTTGAATCACTATATTGTACACCTGAAACTAATATAACACTGTATGTTAAACTATACTAGAATTAAAATTTAAAAACTTATTATAAAAAAGAAGCATCTTCATAAAAACAGTGACAACGTCTTCGTAAAAACTGCTAACACTAACTAGAATTTATTTCTGGTTAAGATTTTTCTTCTTCCACAAACTATTCTAACCATTAAAAAAAACTTCCTCTTTTCTGGTTTCCTCAGTTTACTTATTCTCCCTTAAAGGAAGGGATCAAATTACTTCATTTGCCACTGTCCTGTTTGTTAGTTAATCTGTGCATCTATAGTTAGCTACTGTTTTGAGTGCCTTACTTTTGTGGTCTTATTTATTATTTTATCCTTTTGTATGATTTATATGGGACTCTCTCTCCAACACATTAGGACATTTCAAAGGGAATCTATTTTGTGTCTTTCTTTCTTTCATTTTCTTTCTTTCTTCCTTTCTTTCTTTCTTTCTTTCTTTCTTTCTTTCTTTCTTTCTTTCTTTCTTTCTTTCTTTTCCTTCCTTCCTTCCTTCCTTTCCTTCCTTCCTTTCTTTCTTCCTTCCTTTCTTTCTTTTCTTTCTTCCTTCCTTCCTTTCTTTCTTTCATTCTTTTCTTTCTTTCTTTCTTTTCTTTCTTTCTTTCTTTCTTTCTTTCTTTCTTTCTTTCTTTCTTTCTTTCTTTCTTTTTCTTTCTTTTCCTTCCTTCCTTCCTTTCCTTCCTTCCTTCCTTCCTTCCTTCCTTCCTTCCTTCCTTCCTTCCTTCCTATCTTTTCTTTCTTTCTTTCTTTCTTTCTTTCTTTCTTTCTTTCTTTCTTTCTTTCTTCCTTCCTTCCTTCCTTCCTTCCTTCCTTCCTTCCTTCCTTCCTTCCTTCCTTCCTTCCTTTCTTTCTTTCTTTCTTTCTTTCTTTCTTTCTTTCTTTCTTTCTTTCTTTCTTTCTTTCTTTCTTTCTTTCTTTCTTTCTTTCTTTCTTTCCTTCTACATATTCTTGAAGCTTCTCCTTAAAGAAAAAATGAGTAATAGTGCTTTGTCTTCTCAAAAGCATTTAGCAACAGTTAAAACAGTTTCTTTTATTATGTATGTATGTGTCTATCTGCCTATAAATAGATCATCTCCATATTATTAACATTGCCTGGTGCTTTTTTGAAGTTGACTTGGCTAAGTAGGTATTGTTAAAAAAAATCTCAGGGTTTTATTTGACCAAATGATAATTATAAATGGCCATTCATTGAAGATTCTGTCAGTTGTACTGTTTCATCAGGTGGGAGTTAAGATTCAGTATCTTTGTTGGGATCTGAGTTTCTAAAAGTCTCATTTACTGGCACCTCAGGTCAAATGTAAGATTAGGATGAGTGGCAGGAAAAAAAAAAAAAAGGATTAGCGGCAGAAATTTTCTAGGCAGGCAAGGTTTTAAAAGGTTTAGCAGGTGAAAAAAAAAGTTTTAGCAGGTGTAGTATAGAAAGAGGGTTAGACTGAAAGTGGGGAGGAGTTATATATCACTTGAAAAGAAGGATTTTCTAATAATCAGCCAGAAAGCCTCTGGAATTTTTGAAAGTTATATCATAGCCTTAGAGAAAAGAAAACATTAGATTTGATATAAAATGTTCACAGAGCTATTTATTTATTTATATGAATTCCAGTTACCATCTTAGCAGCATATAATGGATCCAAATTAAATTGTATCTTTCAGGCTAATTCAGGAAGAAAAAGAATCCACGGAGTTACGTGCTGAAGAAATTGAGAACAGAGTGGCTAGTGTGAGCCTGGAAGGCCTGAATTTAGCAAGAGTCCACCCAGGTACCTCCATCACTGCCTCCGTTACAGCTTCTTCACTGGCCAGTTCATCTCCCCCGAGTGGACACTCAACGCCAAAGCTCACCCCTCGGAGTCCTGCCAGGGAAATGGATCGGATGGGAGTCATGACACTGGTATGATGATATGCACGAGAACATTGTCCCCATTAGGATTAATGGTGCATGAGCTGATATTTACTGGGTGTTTATTCTAAGGACCTTCTTTGGTTTTTATCATTTTTCTTTTCTCACAACATCCCTATGCGGTAGGTGCAACTATTAATCCCATTATGAGGCAAGCAAATATAGCCTACACAGGTGTAATTTTCTAAGGTTACATAATAGGTAAGTAGAAGAGCAGCAATCTAAATATCACAGCAGCTATCTGAATGACTTAAACCATTAAGTAAATTTTTACAGGTAATATCTTGATGAAGTAAATTGGAACTGGGTATTTTATTTTTAATGCAATAAATCACAAAAAAAATTATTATAATTGCTTCAATAAAACAACAAAGAATGTTAACATTTTATAATATAGATAATATAATTTTAATAAGAAGATCCATCAAAAATAAGAGCAACAATTTCCCAATTTTGTTTTAGAATTTCATGTCAACATTTTTACCCTTCTTTATTCTTTAATTCTTTGTTTCGTTTATTTTTATATTTGGGATTAATAGTTAGAAACCTAAGTTAGGAGGTACCCTGAATATAATTGAGAGAAAATCAAAATGCCTTTGCTAAAAATAATATAGAGAAACCTCTGGAAGAAATGATGGGAATGACTACTGAGTGCTGTGATGGTTAGCCACTTAAATCTCATGATAACATCTGCAAGTCTGAGGGCATCACCTCAACAGAGAGCAGAGGTAACTGGGGTTTGAGAGCATGAGTAAATTGCTCATGTTCAACACAGTAAGTGGAGCTGGATTTTTTCTTCAAATTTGCTGGCACAAAAGCATGTGCAACTCTGTCCCTTCTGTGTGTGTGTGTGATTACCTGGAAATAACGTTTAAATGACAGTAATGAAGATTTAAATATTCTGAACTATTTTTGGAGGTAAAATTCTGTTTCTGTAATGAATATTAAAACTTTACTATTAAAATAATAAAATTCTAATTAAAAATGAGTTTGGGGATAGAAATTAATTTAAAAAATAGGTGAAATAATAGTTTTATACAGTATAAAACTAGCACAAATATAACAAATGGAGGAGAAATTAATGATACTACAGAAGAATATGAAGTGTATACAGTGTTTCTAAATATAGTCAGAAGGCTGTGAAGCTTCTATAAAAAGTGTCACAGTATCTATCTCTGTGCGTATGTATGTGTGTAAAATATCTGAACAAAAAATTTTAATTCATTTTCTAAATGACATCTTTAATAAATATGTTGCAGTAATATGTATTGTAGCTAATAAATTGTAAAAATTATTTCCATTGGAATTGATTTATATTAATGCACATATGCACATATTTATAAAGAAATTATATCTCTATCTTTATATATAAAATGCTCTCACCTCTAGGCAAAAACTACCTTATAATTTTTTTTAATTTTATTTTTACAAAATCTGTTATGTATGTAAGTTAAATGTCTTTTTCTTTAATTTTACAATTGAGAATTGAAACAGAAAACTATTTTTATGGTGTGGCAGCATTTTTCACATTCAAACTCTTTATGATTATGGACTTCCATACAATAAAGTCAACATAAAAGAAACATGGCAAAATTTTTTAAAAAAGGAAACTTTTACCTTCTTACTTACCGTCTTAAACCACTGAGTCCTCTATTCTGTGCTCAGAATATTGATATTAAAAATATTTTTAAAATAGGGGCGCCTGGGTGGCTCACTCAGTTAAGTGGCTGCCTTTAGCTCAGGTCTTGAGCTCAGGTCTTGTCCTGGGCTCTAGCCCCTCCCTAGTCAGGCTGGCTGCTGCTCAGCAGGGAGTCTGCTTCTCCCTCTGCCCCTCACCCCTGCTCATGCTCGCTCGCTCTCAAATAAATAAATAAAATCTTAAAAAAATATTTTTAAAACAGACATCATAGACTGTGCCCAATCAGGACAAAGGACAGCTAATCAGAACGGACCCGCACTTTGACACAGCACAAAGTTTTAGCCAATGTACTATATACCCAGTATATGGAGCTACATTATGCTCTGCTTATTTTTAGAAATCTAAGAACCATTAATCTGACTTTAACTAAACAGGACATTGTCTCTGTCTTACTTTCTGTTTATATTTGCTGCATATATTGATGACTTATTATCAAAGCTACAGTAAGAATGTTGGCCCACAGAGCATAATTCAGCCAGCATTCAAGGCAAGGAAGCTTTGGTTATTTCTGTCCTATTCTTCCTTACATTTTTGCAACATAGTGTTTTGCTCTTTAAAGTATTTTCATAAACATTGATAATGTTATTATTTTATACTAATAAAATAATGTGTATAAACACATTTACACACATTATTTAGACATGATGTTTGTGTAATATGAAAAAGATGCCATAGCTTTCAAGCATTTTCTTGAGCAGTTAGTCATAAATAAATCAATGATAAATGAACATTATTACACTGTAATTACAGTACTTAAAAATGTTTAAAGCATTTCCTGAGGGTAAAAAAAGTACATAAAATTTTCCATATCTGACTCAGAAAAACAAGAAATGAAACCCGGAAGTCCTTATCATCCTAAGAAAACTTTGTCATTAAATTCATCACTGCTACAGTGAAAGACAAGTAGATTTTCTTTTACCTATAGAAAATATTGGGGGGGATAATTTTGTTGGATATAATCCATGTTTGGATATTCAGAGGAAAATGAAGAATTTTAGGGACAGAAAAGCAGAGATTGAAAAGATATTATATTCATTTGTATTGTATATGTTTATATGTTTTACAAACATTGTTATTTGTCCTGATTATAAAATGTGCTTTTATTTACTTTTACCTCACCACAAATCTTTTTTTTCTTTAAGATTTTATTTATTTATTTGACAGAGAGAGAGGAGGGAGAAGCAGGCCTCCCGCCGAGCAGGGAGCCCAATGCGGGGCTCAATCCCAGGACCCCGGGATCACGACCTGAGCCAAAGGCAGACGCATAACGACTGAGCCACCCAGGCGCCCCTACATCACCACAAATCTATAAGCATAAAGAACAGTCTACCAATATCTAGTTAGAATATTGAATGAAGTAGATCAACCAATTTTCCAATAACAAAAATATATAAATGTAACTAAAATGGAATAAAATTGTTTTACTCACACAAGAAAAATTAACGAAGATATTAAGTGAATAAGGTTCATCGGAAATCAGAAAGAATTAACTTTTAAAAAAATTCTGTAAAAGCACATTGACAAGAAAACAGCAGCTGTAGAAACATGTTATACTGAGGCCAGAGCTTTAGGCATTTGGGAATGAGAGATTTGTTAGGATGCCAGGAAGTTTGAGATGCATCAGGAATAACATCCCTGCCCAAGGGAGGACCAAGGCTCTGCATAGATAGGGCAAAAGGGAATGTTTATAAACTCCATATATGTGCATTGATTCTTCATTTGTATATGATCTTCTTCATTCCCATTTATGTTTTCTTGGGAGGATATAGTCCCATATTTATTTCTGGCTAGATCACTCCATATGTGCTTCCTATTCCCTAGGGTTCCGTGTCTCAGATCTCATACACATATGTTTGACCCCATCATGTGGACATGCCCCCTACCAATTCCATCTACGAAGGTTCCTCTCTGAAGTCACTCTGAGGAGGAGTCCTTCTGTAATGGTTAAAGACATTTATTTAGAAAACAATGGAATGAAAAAACAAGACAGTCAAGTTATAGAATACTGTTTAAACTTGTAACATGGTCAATGGTACTCATTAATTAGTTCTGTTTTATGTTGTTTTTATTACTGCCAATCACAGCCAAGTGATCTAAGGAAACATCGGAGAAAGGTACTGTAAATATCTTTTATATGATTGCTAGTTGAATATTGTTTTTCTGTGAAAGCTTTAAAATTATATTCCCATTAGTTGAGACATTTTAGTAACATAAAAAGAAATATTAAAAGTATTTAAGTGTTATCCAATTGTGTAAATACGATTATAAGAACAAATGCCTCAAAATAAAATTGTTTATGCTTTCTAGGGTAATGGTTAGATTATGTGGTCTAAATATCCTAGAATTAGGTTGTTTATTGTCAATGCTAGAACAATGCTGCTTGTTTTTAAATGTAGGTTTTACTGTTATTCAGGTATGTGAGACCAACATCAGGAGACCACTGTCAATGAAAAGAGAGTTTGTTACTCACACTTCCCCAGAGGAAGGGCATGCCCTGCTATGCAGAGGCAAAAGGAAGTACCAGAGGAGGTCCTGAAGCAGAAAGAGCTAGGAGAAAGGATGAGTAGGAGCTTTATTGTGGTTTCTGTTGGAAAGGCAAGGCAGGGTAAGCAGGCTTAGGATTGGCTAGTTTTAATCATGTCGGTGGGCTCTAGGTATTTGGGCCATCTCTAGTTGTCCAATTCCTGGCCTGGGATAATTAAGGCAGAGAAATATTGCCTCCTGAAGTGTAAGAGCCAGAGAGAGAGTATGATTTGGCGGCTGTTCTAGATTCATTGATGTGCACATGAAAGGCACACTCCAGGGAAGTAGTTTGCTATCTCTAGGAATTAGCTAGCCCTGAGAGGAACATTCTGTTGGGTCAGCATGGCACCAGATGCCCGAGTATCAAGAATACAGAACTTATAAAAATATAATTAATCTGCTGCCTTCCTGTTTGGTGTGACATAAATAGAATAAGTATTGGAAATGAGAAACAAAACTGACTCTAGTTCTGATTCACAAAATGACATCTTGTTAGATAATTGAGAACAGCAGAGCTCAGACTCATGGGATATTGGATGGGGAAGATTTCAAAGATTCAACCTACTATCTAGTGCATAAATCTATTTTTCAGTATCATCAAGATGTGATAGACTATTTCCAAAAACTTCAGGAACCAGAAAACTGTTGTTTTTTTTTTTTGTCTTTTTTAAATTAAAGAAATCTGTATTTGTGTGGCTTAGATTGATGGAACTTTTTTTTTTCTTGAGTTAACATCTATCTTTCTATAGTATCTTCTCCGTGATACTACCAGTTGGTTCTCAACTGTCAAATTCATCATGCATAAAGTTCTTTGTCTCTGACTTCCTCTACCACTTAAAAGGATTATTCTAGGAATATAGAAAGAAATTTGAGTAGATGATGGATGTAAAAGAAGTTCAGTGGGTATAAGAAAAAAAGTCACAAAGGAAGGTCCCATACAGGAATGCAGGCTCAGGGAATTCAGTGGGTAAAGAAATGGTTGGTAAAAAAAAGTAGGTCATGGAAAGACCACAAACTAGAAATTGTTGTGTATCAGGCTAAGGAGTTACAGGTGTGATTCCATTTGCACTTCAAAAGAACACTTTAAGATAAGTATTATCACATCCATTTTACTGATGAGGAAATTGAATCTTAGAGAAGGTAAGTAATTAGCACATGTCATTCAACAAGTAAGAGAAATCAGAATTCAAATCCATCTCTGATTCCAAACCCTTTCTCCTCTATTTTATTTATACAGTGTAAGCTCCAAGCATTATTCAGACAAACAGTTTGTGTATGATGTTTTTAAAAGCTGGTATTTGGACAGCTGGCATATTTGACTGGTGGTGTGGAGAGAATAAGGCATTTTAGGAGGTGTTTCAGAGGAAAAACTCTGGAAGCAAAAGGGTCAGGCTTCGCAGAAATAATCACAAAAAACAATTACGGCTAGACCATGGGACTGTGAAGACATAAACACATATTAAATAGAGTTTGGAAACGTACTTTATGAATTTAGGTGAAAGGTGAGTTTAGGAAGAGTTTTCCAGAGTGTTAACCTCATGCTGAAAGTAGTTCTTGAAAAAGATTCTTCCGGTGGCACTGTACTCATTGAAATGGAAAGAGGAAATCCTATAAAGATGCCTACATGAACTGTTACAAGTAATCTAGGCTTGGATGACAAAAGCCCAGTCAAACAATTTATTTAAGTTTCTCCAATACATGAGGTCTTTATCGTATATCATATATAAACACACTTACGCATAATAGCTCAACATAGAAACAAAGCAAGGCATTATGTAGACATAAGATGATAAACAGCTTTAAAATTTTTGCTATAGCCATATTGCTAACTTTTTGTCATCAGAACTTCCAGAACTGTATCTTCTAACTATGCTTTCCACAATCTTTCCCTCTATATGTATGTATTTCAATGCATAGTGATGCCGTGAAAAAAATGCAGGATTGTTGTAAAAAAATACCTCTTTACAATCAATTTGATTATTGAAAAGTCTGACTGTCATGCAGTTTTATATGTCTGTCTCTGACAGAATTTATGGTATCCTGAACTGTTCTGGATTCTGAACTAAATTATTCAAAGAAATCCCTTCCACCCCATCTTCTGGTTTCTGTATGCCTTTGTCCACATTCCCATGAGAGGTAGTGAAATGAAACAATTTGCAAGAATTTTTTTTCTAATAAATTGCCACTCATTTTTTTTAAACATCTGGAACACATTTCATTAGCCTGATTTAATACACTTTATCTGGTAAAGTTGTATTTTTGCCACCTTCTCTTCTCACTTCAAAAATCTATGTAAAAGATATCCATGTTATGATAACCTGACTATGCATACTTTTTTTAGTGAATTAGCTCAAATATGTGTTCAGTAACTTTTTATAAAACATTTACATTCCTGATATATTGAAATGGATTCCAGGATAGCTTTCTTATAGTCCCTGGATAGTGATCTATGGTGTTTATTTACTCTGAAATAATATTTTTGTGTAAAGTATCCAAGGGTTTTTTTTTTTCCCCCAAACTGGAATGTCTTTATTTTTAAACAGTTATGACACACACTCTTTAATAATGTGAATTTATAAGTGTAAGACCTATTTGCCCCAAGTTTTTTATTTTGTTTTTGTATTAGAATTACTCAAATAGCCTTGCTTAATGATTTCTCCATTTCCATCCATTTCCATTGAAATCTAGAAAGAGTTCATCTGAATGTATTGTTTTCGCTTCTAGATTGCAGTGGTGGAAGAAGATGGTCGGGAGGACAAAGCAACAATTAAATGTGAAACTTCTCCTCCCCCTACCCCTAGAGCCATCAGGATGACTCACACCCTTCCCTCCTCCTACCACAATGATGCCCGAAGGTATGACTCTCCCAACACACAGCACAGGGCCTGCTCTCCTTCGGAAAATACTCCTCTTTCTTTCAGTGTTGTCAAATTGACTGCTTAAACATTTATATGAGAAATTTTATTTGAGCTCTAGCTCTCCATTAAGGTATTGCCCTGCTCCCTCTCCCCAACATCACTTATGGAAAAAAAATTTGCATTCTGAGATCAAATTTTTAGTTTTAAAATTGACTGTATATTTGTGGTCTTATTATTAGCCAATATGGATGATACGAACTCTTCTATTTTTAGTGGATATTTCCTATTAAAATAAAGTCAGGCTAATGGAAGGACTTATTAGGAAGAATAACGGAAAAATTAAGGGATTCTAGGACAAGACTATAAATTTGGCTTAGGTGTAAGAGTAATTAGGGTCTGAAAAGTCCGTAATTGCACATCATTTACTTTTAGCAGACAGATATGTATACCACCCTCCAGGTGCTGGTGCTGCTGGCTAGAACAGCTACCCAGGCAGAAAGTTCATAAGAAAAAAAAAATGATATTTTTGCCAAAATATTAAAAGAAAAGGTAAGGGAAAATACCCATTTTTCACAGTAACTCATCCTGTGGTCCTTTCTGTCAGCCTACAAAATTGCAAGCAGATCTCCATGAGAATTAATGGCATAAATAAATCTAAGCATGCAATTCACATCTTAAATACATGGCCTTTTACATTCTTATCAATTGCAGCGTCTCAAGAAACATAATTGATATAACTGAACATAATGACTTAGTATTAATAACTTAGGTAAGAATCTGTCTTCTAAATAGTATGTGTTTTACACACATACTATTTGAAACAGAGCTTTCTGTGCTGGCAGGCATTTTTTGTCTTTCTGTTTTGCTTATTTTTAATTTCTAATGTGGAAAACAAAAGTTACTCCAATTTCAAAATATATGCTTTCACCTTCCAAGAAAAGAGTGAATTATATTTTAACATGTGAAAGCTATTGGTTTGGAGTTTAGAGAATGTGAACTCATTAATTAGGACAAATAAGTAAAGTAATTCATCATGGTGTTGTCACATTAGCAGCTGTAGAATAGATAGCAATATATATTGAACCTCTCCTATTAATACGGTGTCAGTTACACTGACCAGGAATGGAACCTCAAGCAGCTGCTTGGAATTCATTTCAGTGTATCATGTACCTAAAAGAATACCTGAGAACTATGAGAAGAAACAAAAAGTGATCACTAGAGCATATGATTATTTGCTTCTAAATCCTTCCTAGATGATTTAAAATTAAACGATTTAGACTCCAAAACTGGGAGAGAGAAAGATGGCTAGAAGAGGGCGCCTAGGTGGCTCAGTCATTAAGCGTCTGCCTTCGGCTCAGGTCATGATCTCAGGGTCCTGGGATCGAGTCCTGCATTGGGCTCCCTGCTCCTTGGGAGCCTGCTTCTCCCTCTGCCTCTCTCTCTCTCTCTCTGTCTCTAATGAATAAATAAATAAAATCTTTAAAAAAAAAATTAAAAAAAAAAAGATGGCTAGAAGAAACCCCAGTAAAGATGTGGGCTGGAATAGCAGCTTAAATTTCATAGTTAGTTAAATTTAAATGCCTTATCATAGGTCATTATGTTTATGACTGTAAAAAAACATAAGCTCTGAGAAGGAAATAGGGAAAGGGTCACATGCTAAAGAATGGAAGGTCATTTAACATGCAATGAATAAGCCAACCTGTGTTCACTGATTCATTTGAGATCGTATCAGAAATAGGGGTGAAAACATTTAGAACAAAAATAATCTTTTCTAGAAAAAATTTGGAGGCTCAAGGCCCTAAGGCTGAGAAAAACCAAACTTCAATATGCATAAGAGCAAATGTGGGAGGAAAGGGAGAAAATAAGTGTTCTTCCGTTTGTCCCTTTCTAAAGGAACAAGTCTTAGTACTTTGTGGGACGAGCAGTTTGCTCTCTTTTGTGTTTTGCAGTAGTTTGTCTGCCTCCCTTGAGCCAGAAAGCCTTGGGCTTGGCAGTGCCAATAGCAGCCAAGACTCTCTTCACAAAGCCCCCAAGAAGAAGGGAATCAAGTCTTCAATAGGACGTCTGTTTGGTAAAAAAGAAAAAGCCCGACTTGGGCAGCTCCGTAAGTGTGCATGTGTTTGACTCTTCACTGCCACTCATTTCAGTCACTTCTGAGGGTCCATCTGCTTTTCATTTCATTTCCCATCTTTGCATTGCTTCTTTTTTCTACCCGACAAACTTTCTTTTTCAATCAGCTCTGTAAATGCAATTTAGCTGAATAATGTTGGACAAAACTTACAAAGGAAGAATATTGTAAAACGCATAGTCCTTTGATTTCTCTGTGAATAACAATGGCTAGAATTTATTTGATGCTGACTCTGATAGACACAAGGCCCCTATGAGGCAAGGGTTATTACTGTTATTCTTATTTATTGATGACTAAACAATGTCTTAGTAATTTGCAGAACTGAGAAATTTATCCTAGTGTCGGTGTTTCAAATCAGTTTAAAACCACTGAGCGTACTACCACTTAAGGCACAGATATCTATAAAAGCTTTTCTGCTGAAACAGTTGAAATACCTATAAAAAATCCCAAATAATTTTTTTTTGTCAAAATAAAGAATTATATGCAGGGCAAAAAAGTACAGGATTTCTTTGTTTAAAGCTAACACAGCTTTCCACAAACTCTACACTATGTAGGTGGGGAGACAGAGGAAGCAATAGGGCAATAGGGATTGTGTTAGTTATTGTTAGTCACTAATTGAATAAAAACATAGATCAGTACATTTGAAATGACTCTAGGTAAATATATAAACATATGTACATAGATAGGTGATGGATGGATGGATGGACAGACATATTTATAATTGTCTGAAACAAAAAGAATATGAAAAATGTATTTCCTAAAATGATGATATATACACTTGCCTTGTGTGTGTGTGTGTGTGTGTGTGTGTCTTCTTATATATTTATTTTTTCTTGGGAAATCACTTTTTCCATCATATTGGCTATTGTGATTGCATCTTCTTTTTTCCATCTTTTCCTATTTAACTTAGAACTATAGTTAAATTATTGGGAAATATTTAGCTCCCACCTCTAACACCAAATGCTGAACAGAATGATACAAATTTCTTAGCACTTTTTCAGTTTTCCAAATAAAGGAATGATTACTTACAAGTAATGCTCCAGCTCCCAGGCTTACTTTCCTGTCCTGGCACCAAAAGAATTTCTGAGAATAATATTTATGTTTGCAAATTTACAAATGTGATATATTCAAAAATGCCCTTCCCAACTTCCATAATGTAAAACCCACACAAAGCATCAGAAGCCATGGGAAACTGATGTCTGACCAGCTGTGTGATTAAATGTTACTCAGCAGGTGAATTAAATCCTCTTTGGATTTCTATTTCTCAGGAGGGAACTCTTTAAGCTATAAAAAAAATTATTGCATAACAAAAGAAGATAGAAGATGATTCTTTTTTAAATATAAAATATACATGCCAAGGCATTGTTTTAATTTTTTTGACAACTATTTATAATCTTACCAAATTATTTGTCATTTCCAATATATTACAGTGTAATTCACAATAGTGTAAATAGTTATTTTAAGATATTTATTTTGCTAACATAGTAATCATTTTATTTATTCCTATTTCAACATATATATTCATTTTAGGATCTATAATTTACTTTTCCCTTTTAACATATATTTAATTGCCTTTCTCTCATGGATTTTTTTCTATTTTTATTTTGTATTTAACTTCGATGAGGAGTAACTGAATCAGAAATTTTGCCAATATTCTTTCAAAATCAAAGTCAAGATATAATTTAAAGTCTGGTAAAATTTAGATTCTTCTAGAAACCTAGCCCTTCTTACCCATTTTCAGTGACTGTGTGTCTCTATGTTAGACCAGATGAAAAGGGAATCAATGATAATTATTTTTTGATCAACACCATCCAAGTTGGAAACTATCGATAGTTATTGGGGAGCATAGCATCACCCCAGGAAGAATTCTGAGCTCTGAACAATTTTGTTTTACGCAGTAAAACAGTATAAATAAAGCCAGAGTCAGCAGCATGCTAAGGACTGCACTACTGATGAGGAAGACAGTGACAAATATCTGTGCCTCTGGAACTATGTAGAAGCTGTACTGAAGGTGAATCAAAGCTCCTAGAGAAGCCAAGAATAAAAAGTCTTTGCTGGAAATAAGACTGGAGTAAAGAAGAAGAAAATACAGACACAAATAGGTTCTAAAAAACCATATATTTACCAAAAGAATATTGTACATGGTACCACTGGTACTTTGGTTGAGGGATAAGGACTCAGGTCTACTTTTGTCTTGGAAGGTGTATCCAGGTTGTACGGGGAAGACTGTGAAAACTTTTCAAACCCCAGGGGCTACCACCTAGTCATGCTGATTTATGCATCAGAAGAAACTAAGAAAGACCTCTAGTGGTTATGGTTTTAATATCTTGATCTGACAAATTTAGACACAGGCACTGGCAATGTTCTTTCTTCTACCAATGTGAATAGAAATAGAAAAAAAGAAAGATGGCACGGAAAGTAATATGGTAGAGGGATGATGGTGTCAAAGAACCAAATTTGAAGTTCTGGACCACGTCTTAAGATTTTGAACTCTTAGTTAAAGATTTAGCTCATAAGCTCAAAGAAAGAAAAGTAATCTGAGGGTAGCTATGCTAGAGGCCTCTAAATGAAATATGGTACAGAGGAAGAAAACTATCTAAACAGAACTATGAATGTGTTCGCTTGGTTCCATCAGGAATGATGAAGAACAAAGGAGAAATTCTTAGTAATTCAAAGAGGAGAATATTAAGGGGGTGTTGTTTGCATGGTATAACAATCTGAAAAGCTAGGGTTATAAGATGAACTTCAGATATGATGGATCAGTCAGTGTGACTGCATTAATAACCCCTAACCATGAATCAAACTGAATATGCAAGTAGTCATTTTTTCAAATGTGTTACTAGTAGAGACAATATAAACATGGAGACCCCAAAGCACAAAGGAAACAACACATCCAAAAACATTTGAATAAAGCTAACAGAAACCAAACAAAATCATTTTATTCCAGAAGTCTATTTATTTATTTATTTGAGAGAGAGAAAACAAGCAAGAGGGGGAGTGGGGGAGAGGCAGAGGGAGAGAGAGAGTCTTAAGCAGGCTCCACACTGGGTGTGGTGGGGCTCAATCTCACGACCCTGAGATCATGACCTGAGCCAAAATCAAGAGTTGAACGCTTAACCGACTGAGCCACCCAGGTGCCCCTATTCCAGAAATCCTTAAAGCATGTTTTCCTTGGATACCTTTATTATTCAAAAGTAGCGTGGAGAAAAGCTTGGTAGTAATGGAAGATTTCACATTTTCAGGTACCTTTTAGAAAATTCATTCTGCTCTTTATCAGACGGTTTGACAGTTCTATTTATAGTATTAATGCCTATAATGTAGGAGCAGGATTTGCAAACTAAAATGTACTCAGTGCATCAAATTATAGGCAGGGTTTAAAATAACAGGAAGTGATATAGATTAAAATGAGTGAATGAGCATTTGTTCTTCCATTTAAAGCATTCATATTTGATTTTTAAGTACTATGCTGGAAAGGTAAAACATATATATGAGCCAAGTCTACCTGAAGGTACCAATTGATTTGGGGAGAGTATCCTAGTGAGGAAGTACTCCTTCTAGCAGACATGGGATCTGGTTTTAGTTTCTCTTTCTCCTTTTATTTTCACTTACTCTCTTCCCATAGTACAAATCCCAAGATAAAAAGATGCAAAAACAGGTTTGATAATCTTGTTGAGGGGCATAGAGACAACAGGACCAGTAAGAACTTCTGCTGACTTTGTAGAACGTAGATCCAGGGTGTGATAGTAGTCTATCAAGACATAGCAGCCCAATGACCACAGCCGTTTCTCCCGATGCATACATCTAGAGATGCAAAGCATCTCTGATATTTCCATTAATATTTAAACATGCTTATGTCTAATCTGTATTTAAAGTCATCATTTGATCCTGCCATCTTCCTTAGATGTTAACTTATCTTTCCCCTGCCTCTAATATCCAAGCTTAAATGAGTTGTCCACAATTAACTATTTTCACATTCTCATCTGTCAGTCACTTTATAACCTACCACAGCCTGACTTCCACACAAACTACTACTAAAATTCTAGAATCAATTTTAGTCTTAACCAACACAGAAGATTGGTTAAGACAGTGAAGGATAGATGTTATCCCAGCAATTCAAAAGGATAGTAACACACTCAGGATAGTATTTATTATGATGTGAACTTAAGGAAGAAGCAGTATATCTGAAACAGGAGACCTCTTTCTAAAAAACATAATTTGAACGATTTTGGTACCAAAGTTGTGTGTATAACAAGTGATAGATATAAACAAACATGTAAGAACAATGTCAGAAAGTCCACTAGCCCCAAATAAACTGGTGATTGGAAAAACTGTCCAGGCCAAAAGGGGACTTACAAAATCCTATTATAATTTCTGCTTGAACCACAGAAATTTTCCCTGCTGCATTGTTTATCCTACCAGGATAGCTAGGGATAGGGGTTTTGAACCCCACGATCTAAGATTATACATCGGTTATTGGAATCCTGACTGGCTTGCCTTTTAATTCTATCTGAAGGCATTAACCTGTTTTGAAGCAAAGCAAATTAAACGGTGTTAAAAATAACTATGTCAGATGACACTCGTTTGTTTTTCTGACAAAGTTACTCAGTTACAGAACAGGAACAGGCAGTGGGTGAGCTGTGACTCGTGGCATCCCATGACAAGATGTCAAAATGGGGTCTGGGTGATGGAAAAATTCAGTGGGGTTTACAACTGGTTGAATAATCCTCCTATTATAGTGCTAACGAGTCGAGTGATGCCACCTTGGATCAAGGTCTCTGGTGGCATAATTAGGACTCCTTTGTCTTTGGTCAATACAACCCCAATCACTTGACATGAATATTTCAATAGCACAGGTATCCGATTTATGGATTACTGATATGGATAGAAAACACAAATGAAAAAAAAAATAGAGTTGTTCTAAAAACTATCTCAAAAATATCTCTCCATATGATCTCAATACATTCTTTGATTTACTA